ACTTTTGGGCTACTTTCTCACTCACCCACACAGAACAATAATGTGAATGAAAGTGTGTCTTTTTCTTTCTTTTTTTTTGGATATGACTTCAACTCCCTGAGCTTAGGCTAGTGCTATTGTAAGCAGGGCATCATTTAATGACATTCACACATTTTTCTATCTTAAAAGCCAGTGCTTTTTTTGGCAGCATCAGACCTAGAACAAACTCTTCCAGATCCTCGTACCTGTGGACACTTCAATTTTCCAGCCTAAATGTATTTATGACCATATTACATCCATCTACTCTTGAGCTCATTTCTCCTCACTTGCTCTTACCATGAGATGTATTTATAGACACTGATCATATCCCCTCTCAGCCTTTGTTTCTGCTGGATTAAAAAAAAAATTTTTTTTGCTTCCTTCTGCAAAACCAGTACGCCCTTTCTCCCTGCACCCAGCCAGCTCCCCTCTGTGCCTGTTTAATTAGGGTCTATCCTTCCCAGCTTCCCTCCTCTTCAACACCCCAGCCCTGCAGGGTGACAGTAAGGTGTTGGTCCTCCTGAATCAACATCCTTCTCCCTGCTCCTTCCAAGGAGCTGTTCTTATTAAAAGTAATCTGCAGCAAACAGCCAAGCCTGTAACTCTCACATTTCACACCACTTTAACTATGCCAGTGCTCAAGATCTCCCAGCTCTCCATGAAATATCCTTCTCTCCCTGGACCAACAACGTTTATCACTTGTGTTGTCCTCTCAGCACAGTGATTTCTCCTTTCAGCATGGCCCACCATAATTCCCATTCTCATCAGTTCCCAATCACTGTAATTAACAGTAACAGAAAAATAGACAAACTGTGTCAGATCAAAGGTCCCTCCTGCCCAGTAACCTGTCACTGCCAGGGGACAATAGGATACATGTTAACAGCCAGGAACGCATACAGAAATTATACTGAGAGGTGATGCTATTTCATATTTACGTGTGCTGTTTCATTTTTCTGTTATGAATTTGCCCAAGTAATTTTCAAACCTAGTTAAACTTTTTGATATATAGAACATTTGACGTTAGTAAATACAAACATTTAATTTGCATTGACTTGCAGTGTCAAATTCAACCTTTGATGTTACTTCAGATGTTTAATGACTACAGTGCAGTTTTAGTCCAAAGCTTTTGGAAGAGGACACTCTAGCAGCTGTCTTATCAATAGAAGACCACTACATTAGTCTAGTATGACCTACTTCTGGTGATATAATGTCATACATATTTTTTCATGTTTGCTTTAGTAACTTTGTACAGTATTGAGAGTTGTACTAAAGAAGGAGACAGGCATGGGAGGGTGAGGAGCAAATTATGTCCATCATTTTTATGGGTATTTCCCCTCTCACATGATCACCCTGGATGGGTAGGTCTATAAATACCAGGAAAGTCCTGAATTTCATATGCCTTTATGTTTCACTCCAGCGCAGACACTGGCTCAAGCCAGGAGGATCAGCTAAGCTGGGTCCACTTCCACCTTGCCAACACTGAAGGCTGCTTTTAAACCACACTCCCCCATCACCCATCTTGCCACTGCCCTTCCATCTCCCTCACTGAAATCTAACACAAACCAAATATTTAATCCTGGAACCATGTTTGTACTTTTCTCTCCTACCAACTTGTATGTACATGTAAAAGAACCTTTTACTTCATATGCTTTGCAATTTGCAACCAAACTTGAACAGTTGGCAAATCCCCTCTGTTCCTACATTTTTTTATGTATCAGGATTTTTCTATCCCTTTTTGCTTATTCCTAAAAGCCTTCCTGAAGCAGTTATTTATCCAAAGAAATACTGAGCTCTTCCTATATCATATTCTTTCTTGCTTGGGATATTGATTTTGTTTAGGCAGCAGAACCCTGGGTTTCCATCAGGCTCCAGGATAACACCCTGGAGCTCCCCTGCCCAGGGACTCCCCTACATGTTGCATTTTCAAGGGGGAGAGCTGGAGCTGTCCTGGTTACTGAAGCGGCAGCAATTCTCAGCCACCTCTAGGAAAGACCTGGCAACAGCACTCCTATGTCCTGTTAAGCACTTTTCCCCACTGGTATGCCACAGTTTTGTTACAGAGGCTGCCCATCCATCCCATGAACCAGAGCTACTCATCTTGTTTTGGGCATTCTCACATTTATTTTAAACTGATTAAAAGCAGTAGCCTTGGTTGTCTGTTCAACAAGTTCACTCACCAAACCCAAGACAGCATCACCTATTACTGGTTGCCCTTTTTTTGTTTTCTCCTAAGTCAAATAATGATGCAGTTGTTTTATCTGTGACTGTCTAAGCCCTTCTGATTAGCAACAATTGTTCTGCAAGTAGATCTGATTATCTAAAGAGTACCATAACAATAAACCCAACTGGAAATTGTATCCTTTTAATAGGAGAAACCTTCTTCATAGGCAAATTCAACCCATGAATCCTTAGCAAGATTCTCAGTGCTGCCCTCATAGAACTTTCCATAACAAAACATAACTTTGATTAATCTGAAATCAGATGAAGCATAAAATGCTGCATCTAGCTTTTCCTGTTTCCCAGCTGAAAGAGAAACTTACCTTCACCCATGAGAATCCAAAACCTGCTAGACTATTTCAAATTTCATTATATGCCACTGAGTTGAAAGCTTTACCCCTTATGATTTTGACAACAGCTCTACTTAAACAGTGAGCATTCAAATGATTTCAAATAAAGACTTATAACGGAGGAGGGCAGAAGAGATTCAACATGTTTCAAGGACAATAATTTTTTCCAGTATATTATCACATGAACATTAAAAAAAACCCAAAAAACCCAAAAACAACTACCATCAAAAGAACAGATGAGGCAGCACGTATCTGAAGATTATTACTCTGAGACTCAGGTCCAATTTGCATCTTGTTTTTATCAAGCGTTTTCTTTTTTTTTTCCCCCCCACGTTTTCTACTTGCATGCTTGTCAATGAGGTGCAAAAGGTTAAAATTTACAGTGATTTTTATTACATCAACTTTTTAATAATGACAGATACAGTCAGAAGCTTTGCACTTCTATTTTTATTGTCTAGCCTACAACAGAGATGGAACGATGATGTCCCAGTACCACCACTGAAAGCACAGATCACCTGTGTTTCAAGAGGGTTTCATGGGCTGTCACTCAGTTTCTTCATTCTTCCCCAATTTTGTATAGCTGAAATGACCACAGCCAAAGCAGAGCAGCATTAAGTTGCCTTCCTCAACAGACCCAAATGTGTTCCTATGTTTCACCACCATCCCTAAACTACTTTAAAATAAAATAAAAATACAACAATAAATCAAATCCAGCAAGTTTCCCGTTACCAGAAAAGTACCATCTAACCCTGTCCCCACCTACCTCCCACTGATATTAAAGAGGTATACAAAAAAAGTCTTACCCAGCAGGATGGGAATATGGCTTCAAAAAAAATCAGTAACTTAAATTTAATTTTAGATCTACAAGTGCTGCCAAGCACCACTTTATTTGTCAACAAAACATTTTGATTATTTGGCAGAACAAAGCAAGCTCCCTCCCTGCTTGTTCTACAGACATATTTGGCACTGGTTAATTTGTATGTCTTTAGACATATGTCAAGTCTGAAGCTGTTTCAGGCTTTAACCCTGCAGAACTTCTCTGTTTTAAGTAGTTGTTTTTTCTTAAAGTGGGAAGAGCAGCAAGCTAAAGCCAAGAAGGGATTTGGTCCTGCAATGAAATGGTTAAAAGTCAGACTCTGCTGATGTGTGCTTCTCTGATCCATTACGTTTCTCGAAAGCTGAGCTAAGAGCTGAGCACCAAGTATCAACTGTAATATGATCCAAGAGTTTATGGAAAAAATAACTGCACATACCAAGCATGCACATTTAATAAGATTTTGTTTCCATTAAAATATTCAAGAAACACGATTTTTAAGATCTGCTTCTCTCTCTGCCCGATTTTTAACGTTTCTCCTCCCCCTCCCCTAAATACACACCTCCTTTCCAAAAACCAAACCCTAAAAAAAAAAAAAAAAAAAGGGGAAGAAAGAAAAAAGCAGTCCTACTGCAGGGAAGAGAGGCTTGAAAAACAACTTTGATTGGCACTTGGCCTGACCCACAGAGGAAGAAAAACAGTTTTTGGACAAAGAGCGCAAATATTTGAGCTCATTGACTTACAGGCTTTCTTAGCTTTTGCAAGAACAGACCTGGAGCAAAATGTGTTGGGAGAGATTGAATTAAAATAAAACCAAAACCGGCATCGCGTTCATCTTGAGCGCTCGGAGACTCGGCGCATTTGAACAGCTCAGCAATTTTAATTCATTTGCACTGGACAAACAAAAAGCACCTCCACTAATGCTCCCCATGAGGCAGATGTCGGGAGCAGGGGGTGCAGCCGCCGCACCCCTCCGGGGGCACGGGGGATCCGCCGGGAAGCGGCCGGGCACTGCAGGGATGTGGTTTGGCGGACTGGGGGGCGGGGGGGCTGGCAATTCTTTGCTGCTTTTCTTACATTTTTAAAGCTCTGATCTTAGACTCCCCCGCCCGCACAAAGACTTGACGGAGATCGCGGCGATGAATTTCGCCGGTGAAATATGTGGATATTAAACTTTATGAGCGCGGCCCCAAGTCAAGCCCCCCGCCCCGACGCCATCGGGGCGGCCGAGTGCCCCCCAACCCTCGGGATGAGGGGGCAGCCTGGGACAAGGGCAAATGACAGCCGTCCCAAGGGGGGACAGGGGCGATGGGGGCGCGGGACTTGGCACCCCCTCGGCACCCCCTGGGTTCCCCTCGCCCTGCACCCCTCTACCACCGCCCAGCCCGTACTCCCCAGGCACTCACCTCCTGGAAAGCCCCCACCCCACCGCCTCCCTCCGCCCCACGGCTACCCTATTGCCCATTTCCATCTGCTCACGCCACTGTGGCCGTACGTGTCCCATCCGCCAAGTCTCTGTCCCGCTGCCCCTCGCTCCCCCAACACCCCCCACAAGCCTCTCCCGCGGCTCCCGTCGCCTCTGTGCGGGCGCCCCCCGATACCTGTCTCGGCACCTTCCGGCAATTGCCGCACACCCGGTACTGCCCGGCGGCGGCGGCGGCAGCGGCGGCGGCGCTGCCCACGGGTCCGGAGCCGAGGCGGTTCATGGTGGTGGGGATGGCGGCGACGGCCGGGCGGGACGGGGAGGCCCAGGACGCTCCGCGCCGCTCAGCTGCCCGCACCGCCGGCCGCCCCCATCCCCGGCCGCGGCCCCAGCGCCCGCTCCGCGCCACCGCCCCCCGCGCACACCCCCGCGGGCCCCGCCAATCCGCGCCGCCCGCCCCGCCCGCCGCCGCCGCCGCCGGCCAATCGCGGCGGGTCGCCCGCCGCCGGCCAATGGGCAGCGCCCTCTCCGGCTCCCATCTCCGGGCAGCCTGCGGGAGGGGGCGGGGTGAGGGGTGGGGCCAGCTCCGCGGAGGGGCGGGGCCGGTGGCGTCTCTGGGCAGCCTTGGGCAGAGAGGGGCGGGGCCGGCGCCTCGGCGCGTGCCTTTCTCTGGCCAATAGGATGAGCTCCATGCAAAGCAGGCGCAGAGGCCCCGCCCCCAGGGCCGGGGTCCCGGCGGCCGCGGCTCCCCTGGGCCGCTCCCGCTCCCCACTGGAGCGTCCCCGGGGGTCCCGCCTGGGGCCTCCGCTGTGATCAGATGCCGGCCTCAGCCCCCCACCCCAACCCCTGCCACCCCGGGGACAGACCCCGGCCCTCGCCATCCTCATCCTCTCGAGATAGCCCGGTTCAGGGGCGGGGGGCGAGCTGCTCTCCCTGTCAGAGCGGCGGCTTGCACATGCAGGGACACGGCTGCGCTGCTGCCAGGGGGAGCGGGATGAGGTGTTTGCTCTGAGGGAAGTTGGGAGCACGCATGCGAGAGCGTGTGTATGTGTGTGTGTGTGTGTGTGTGTGTTTGTGAGTGTGTGTTTGCCTCAGGTCGCCGGGATTGTTAGGGATGATGAGTCAGGTTTTCTAGGCTCCATGCTAATGTACGGAGATGGAGTGTATAATTAGGACAGAGGCAAATCTATTATCTGCAGCCTCGGAGATGTGGGGTATGAACCTCTTTTTTTGCATCACGGCATCACTGCAGTTTCCCTTGCCTATGTGCTCTTTAGCTTTTAAGTGCGCACAGAGGAGCTTCGGCATAAGCAGTCCCGCCGGCGTCAATCAAAGTTCATTAAATGTCGAGCGTTATATAACTCCTATTTTGAAAGATGATGAGATAGAAGGGTTTTATTTTTTATTTTTTAATGGGAACAGAATGCTATTACTCTACAAAAATTCTAAGCAGATTTGGGATGTTACATGGTTTTCAAGGTTTCTCTCGGAGGAAGAATTTTAAATCAGCTGCTTGAGAGCTGTGATTTGCTTTGCCTGGGAATACTTTCTATTTTTGCAAAATGAAGCATTGTATAATTTAGTCAACTGGCTGGCTAAAAAGGGCACAATGCAATTAGTAATTTACATATCTTAAAGGAGACTGATTGAACCTACATCTGCCTTTGAAAACTACTGAAAAGTTTCTCAGCTCAGACTTTGCCACTATAAGTAAAACCACATCCACAGAAACATTCTCCTCCATCCTTTCCCTTCTATCCATTTGAAAAGGGATCTTTTCCTCAGGCAGAGCCGCCTTCAATAGACAGACACTCTGTAGACTCCACTGTTGGGAATGCGTCCAAATGTTACAGTCACAGGCAGCCATACAAAATGCTTGCAGAGGAATACACGGAAGGGGGTTGCTTTTTTTGTTTTGTTGTTTTGTGGGGGTTTTTTTTACCCCCTAATAGTGTACTAGAAATGGCATCCCAACATGAGAAAGCAGTTTGTTTGCCAGAGTGCAGGTACTTGCTGTGCCATGTCTGAATCCCACACACTGCAGCATGGTGCTATTTAAGCCAGGGGAAGAGGATAGCTGAACAGATTAGTTTTCATCGTCTAATCCAAATGTAATGCCAAAATTTAAGTAAACTATGTAAATGATGTAAACAGTCTTTCATTTCTTGCTGAACTCCATGATAATGTTACCTGAAATAGGAATTTTAAAAGAAGCAGTAGAGGATCAGTGTTATTAAGTCACTAGCAAAGTGGAGTTTACTCTTCAGCTCAAGTAAGATCACTTTGAGTCATTTGCTGTTAAAGTATTTGGTTCAAAACTCAAACCCATTGGCAAGGATGGTAGTAGTTACGTTTGAAAAACAGGTAAAAGAAAGATTTTAGCTGAGTTACTCCTAATATTTAAGATTGGAACATTTGCAAATACTCAGATTTCAGTAATAGCATCCATTCATTTATTTTATATCTACAATGGCAAGTACACATGACTAAACATTCTTAGAATCCTGGTTGGGACCTATTCCCCTACTGAAATTATTTCTGCTTTGAGTGACAACTTCGGATTTTCAGCATAGTCCATTAAACCCATTTTCCATTACTCAGATTTGAAAGTTAGGCTGACTTGTAAGGCAGTTTAAAATTCAAGAAATTTGGTATCTAGTCTCGGTTCTGCCACAGATGTCTTGTGAAAGAAAGCAGGACATGCATGCCTAGATGCTTAAGTATTTGGTTGACTAACCCTTAGTTAAACAAGAAGCACTTAAGTTACCTTTGTGGCTCCCAGTCTTGCCTTTCAGTACTTTAGTATCTGAGAAATGTCAAGAGAAACATAAACTTTGAAAGTGTTTCATTGTTTTTGGAAACAATACAGCAAATAGAAGTTGCCTAAAACCCTTTTTTGCCCTCAACAAAAATTCTGTTGGATATCTTTTCTGGAGTTAATTTTTCCCTTCTGCAATTGTTTTTAATAAAGAGTTTTAATGCTAATAGAGATCAGACATATACTTAACAGGGCCAGTGCTTACCCAATATCAGTCTTAGAAAATTAGTGTATAGACTAGAGACAATATGACAATTTTCAAAACACCTGAACTCCTTCTAGATGCTGTACTTGGAAATGAACCACTGGGCTCCGTGTCAATGCTCCTGTAAAACTTTGTTTTTGTGCTCTGTTTACAGCATCTGCTGAGTCCTGCTGCCTGCAAAGGCTTGTGCATGTGGGCCTGATTTTGAGCTCTTGGATTATTCCATTTTGGGTTAAACATGTGCATAAATTCTTCAGAATAAAAGCCTGTCTTTGTACAAGCTGGTTTCTTGGTGAACATATCCACATTCTTGAAAATTCTCCCTGTAAGCCTATTGCTCAAAGTATGCAAAAATATCCAGTGCTCCCTTCACAATTGTCTGGCAGCTTTTATGATTCAACTGTACCTCTCTTGCCATCCACTGCTATGGATTTCCTTCAGTTTTTGCCCAGCCACTGAGTCATAAAGGAAAGCAGAATGCTGAAATTAAGATGTACTTGAGTTACAAGCAGCATGGCATCTTGACCTGCCTGAAAATTTTACAAAGTTTGTCAGTTCTGTAAACCAAATCTGTTGTCTCTGCTGAGGTCACCTAGATGGGCTGTGAACTATTGCTGTGTAAGGGTAAGGTGGAGATATTTTTTTAATCTTGATGACGTGGAGCATACTGGCTTGAGACCATCACATCCTTTCACAGAGATCCCTGACCTGCTGGGATAGATTTGCACAAGTGGTTACTGGTTTAAACAGATTTTTATCATCAATGATCATAACTTTTGCAAAGTTTGAAAAACAAACACTATGATGAAACAGCAAGGCAGGAGAAAACTCACAAAGGAAGTAAGGATTACTCTGCCTCCTGAAATCATCAGATGCATTTTTGGCAGACACATTGCAGCCAGGCGTGGACTGCTGCCCTTGCCATAGGAGTAGCTGAATTGTGAAGGCATCTGCTAGAAGGTCAAATTTCTCCTAATGCAGCCTTCAAGTTAACTTTGTTCAAACAGATTGGCTGAGAGACACAGGTGCATCCAAACACTGAGCTGTCTTCATCCCCCAGAGCATATACTCATGCTGTGTTTTAGCAGTGTGATACCAGCTTTGAACCCCTGATGAGGCTGCAGTATTTCCACCTGGAATTTGGACAAAATGCATCTGCACTGTCTTCCAGAGGGCATCACACCCAACAACCATCTGCTGCACAGCCACTCTGTGAAGGACCACAGAGCAAAAAGCATACACTTTTTCAAGATCAGTAAGAAGATGATCTGTAGATTGACTGCACTGACCATACTGTATGTCCCAGAACAGTCAGCCTGGTGGCAATGTGCTGTGCAGGTGCTATGGGATGCTCACAAAATCTACATGATCCTTCCCTAAATTATGCACCTAGTCTACAAGTGTGCAGTGCTTTTATTGTTCATACATTATTGAACAGCTTGATGCTTCCTGAAAAAGCTAGATTGACAAGATCAAGTGCTGTAAAATTTAACTCGTTATGCAGTGGAAACGTTTGTTATTCATAGACATCCAGCGGCTTGGAGAGAGAGGATGGGAGGGGGCAGCTGCCATGCAATAGCTCTGACTGCATTGCTGCAAGACTAGAAATCCCATATGAAATTAAAAGATCCTCAAGTTTTGCCCAGAAGAAGAGAGAGCACACCTGAGCACTCAGCTCCAGAGCCTTACCCAGCTCCCTTACTGCCACAGAAAAGTGCTATGATTAAATGAGCTGATTGACACGTGTCACATGCCTTACATTTCATGACTCCATGAGTCATTCAGTAAAGCCATACTGAACATGTATACACAGGCAAATAGATCTAGTTTCTTCAGGCCAAAATCCAGCCCATTGACATTATGTCAAATGAGTCCTGCCTTCATTATCATAACTTTTTTTGTTGCACTGTTCTAACATAATTTGCACAGCATTTATATTATGTTAGGGGAAGGAAGAGCAACAGATAAAGTTTGTGCCCTGAGTGATGTTATGTGCACTCTGACACTATAAAATGACTTTACTATTGCACATCCTAATCTGCCAAATGGGTGTTCAGATAATTGTGGGAGATAGGGAGATGTGACAGTTTGTGGAATTCTTCCTTGAGGGTGGGGGTACACGCCTTTTCATTTGCAGGGTTTAAAAATCTAACTAGATGAAGCACTTGAAATTATGTTTATCGTAAGAAACAATTATGGCCTGGCCCAGGAAAGCTGAGCTCAGTGA